CTCCTCTATTCTTTGGATTAAATTCTCAAGATGCTCAGGGCTAAAGCAATTTATTTACTTTGTTTAATGACATTTCCACCTATCCCACAGACCAAGTTTGACTGCCCTACTGGCAAAAAAAAAAAAAAGGCTTCAGAAGCAGGACCATCTTCACTGTTTTGTATTCTCTTCAATAGCTATTATCACCACCTGACGTTCATTTTTTTTCCCTTTATCCTCACCCGAGGACACTTTTGCATTTATCTTCAGATGGAGCGGGAGAGAGAGAGGGGGTAAGAGAGAGAGAGAGAAACATCGATGTGAGAGAGACACATCAACTGTTCGCCACCACATGACCCCAACCAGGGCTGGGGACAAATTGCAACCGAGGTACGTGCCCTTAGCGGACACCGAACCCAGGACTCTCTGATCCGCAAACTGATGTTCCAACTGCTGTGCCAAACTGGCCAGGGCGTGATGTTCATGTTGATGGACTGTTTATAGTCTGTCTCTGGAGCAGGCCCCTTCCCTATCTTGCCCACCACTGCATCTCCCACCTAGAACAGCGTCTACAAATACTTGTTAATGAAAATTACAACACAACATACAGAGGACCTTAATCCATATTCAAGGATGTCATGTTCAAACATGGAACCACCTTTCCATCAGACTGACAGTCAAGTGTTCCAATGAACTTCCAACCCTCTCCTACAGAACAGCATACATGTACACACTGCAACACGGATATTTTCCCATAGCTAACCTTTTCTTTTTCAAATTCCCCACAATGAAGCATTAGATATACCAATAAATCACCTTACAGTTCATCTTCCTGCTGGGTCGTGCACATTACCTACAAAGCAAACAGCTCTAACACAGAAAGTCCTGATTGTCGCCTTGAGAACCTTTTCACCCATACCGCATGTATCGCAGGTATTAAAAGGACTTCAACAGCCTAACTAATAAAAAAGCACCCAGTCTAAGTGCAATGTGCCCAAATTATGCGCTATGAAAGCCTTGATTTCATTACATAGTTGACCCTTGAACAATATGGGTTTGAACTGTGCGGGTCCACTTATATGCAGATTTCTTTTCAATAAATACTGTAAATGTATTTTCCTAATAACATTTTATTTCCTCCAGCTTACTTTATTGCAAGACTACTATATATATCATAGAAAATATGTGTTAATCAACTGTTTGTTATTGGTCAAGCTTCTGGTCAACAGTAGGCTATTGGTAAAGGTGGTGGGGAGTCAATGTTATATGCTGGGAGGTCCCGGAATCAGTGCCCCAACCCATGTTGTTCAAGGGTCAACTGTATTATATTTCAAATGTATAACTGATGTACATACAGTTTTCCTCTGATATAAACAGGGTTTAATTGTTTTGCTTTATTTTGTTACTTTTACCTCCACAAAAAGAAAATGAAGGCAGCAGAGTCAGAAGCCTCAGGCAGATCTAATGAGCACTAAAATGCCTTGAACACAAACCCCCATGAGGAAGAGTACCTAATACATACTGGGGAAAGGACTGTCTTTTATAAATGCATGTTTTGAGTCCCATTTGTTCAAACTGAGAGCAATCACCAGATAACATGATTCCTATGCACTGTAAACCAGTAACAGACAAGAGACAGCCCCTTATGTATTATACCACTTTTTAAACTGATAAAAGAATCCAGCCCTGGACAGAATTGCAGAAATGGGTATGAAAGAGAAACATTTTAGATTAAATTTCAGAAGCATAGGCAAAATTGGCCAGGTATGGGGAAAGCGAAAGTTTAGAAAACTACCAGGGGTCACTAAACCAGATGGCACAGTCATAAAAATCATGCTTTCCAGTAATATTTTGTCCAAGTCCAAGTTTCAAGTTCATTATAACTTTTAAAAAGATGGAAATATGGATTTCAAGACCAATCTACCACTAGCTGATTTTGCCTTGAGCAGGCACTGAGCTATACAAAGGCTTTGGCGCCAAGGGGAAGAAGGTGATATCCAAGCCCTGACCGCTCACTAGTTCTATGACCTCTCAAGAAAAGGAGAGGATCCACCTCTCAGGTCTGCTGGGTGGATTTTTTAAGGCAACTTAAAATAACTTAAATACAACACAATCAAGCATATTAAATCTTTAAAAAACAAAACAAAACAAATGTTAGCATCCTTTCCTATCTATCTGAAGAGAAGGTTGAACTCACCAGAAGTAGTCCAACTCTAACTTCTAGTTCTAAATAGATGTGATTTCAACTATATTTCATTCCATACTACTAAAAGGTTATAAAATCTAAAACCTAAAAGATGTCTCCTGACATCTTAGTAACTTGGCAACCTTCTCTCACATATATAAACACACAAATTATCTTTGTAGAATAAAAGTTTTATAACTTTTCCTTGTAACATAAATGTAAATATACACATGATAACTGCTTACAATTTAAGGAACTAGGGCTTTTAAAATTCCAACAAAGTTATAATTTAAATATCAATGTAGAGTAAACTGCTTATTTGGGAAACTCCAAGTAATTGATAGCTGCAGAGCTGTATAAAAGTGACCTAAGTGATAGGTCTGGTGTTAACAAACAAGAAAAATTGTACCCATCTGTCTTCTAAGTCAGCAGCACTTACCAATGCGGACTCTCTTTTTGAAAATGTTCGTACAGATTGCATAAAAAAGTAACCCAAGAAAGACTATTACACCACATTAGGCACATGTCCTTCAAGCATCACAGTACTAGAAATTTAAGACAAGACCAACTTCTGAGGCGGGTCTAGAAGGACTAACCAGTCAGAAGCATGGCCTAAGGCCCTCGCACACCATAAAAATCAGTAAAACTAATTGGGGTTCTTCAACATCTGAGAGGAAGCATCCAGCTGCCATTAAGGAATAAATTGGGGATGCAAATAATTAGTGCACCCTGAGGTGATAGTTAATTCCACTAGCATGCCATTTCACAGGACATATGTATTATGAAATTCCACTTTATCCCTACTCTGAGAATACTGAAGCTGGAAATTTCAAAAGTTAGCCAAAAGCTAAATATCCCTCGAAAGAACTTTTAAAAAATCCCTCCCTCGTCCCCTAGAAAGATCTTGGAATTCCTTGGAGCCAACAACACACAGACCCAAATACACTTGCGTTACCCGCAGGTCCAAGCAGTCAAATGTCCCCTAAAATCTTTTCCCTGATAACTTCTTGCTCAAAGACAAAAAATACAAGACACATTCAGAAGAAGCTAAAATACAATATACTTTCCGAGAAGCACAGAATGGCATCTGGGATTTGAGGAAAAACTGTACACTGACCAAGTTTTATGCTCTGTTGAAGTAGTAAGTGGCTGGAAGCTAAAAAGTGAGACAGGCTTTTAAAAGCCAGGTAAGGTACTGCCTGCATTTCTCAGGAGGGTGGCTTCTGGCTAAAACAAAAGCACAAGACAGGAGAGACCAAAAAAAAAAAACCCACAAAAAACAAAATACAATACAACAACAAAAAACCAACAACAATAAAAACCCACAAAAACAAACATAAAAACACCTACCCCAAACCCCTGTAATGTTTGCTCTGGAACGGAGTTCTCTCATTTAACAGATGAAGACATTGGAGCCTTGAGAGGGTAGGTAACTTGGCCAAGGTTACAGTTTATTGGTGATAAAGCTGGAGGTAGATTTCTGGTCTCCTAGGTTTGGACTTCAGTGCACTTTCCCACTCCACCAAGCTGCCACCCCATGTAAGATGTTTCATAAAACTCCTCACTGAAGCTGTTAACATAAGGGTCCAATTATCATCCAAAGATCTGCCTGTTAGATAATAGCTCAAAATTCCATCCATTTTACAGCAGTTACCAGAGTCATCTAATCTTTGAAAGAAAAGGGGGGGGGGGAGGCAGAAGAAAGAGAGAGGGAGGAAATCCTAATTTTGACCTGTCCCCTAAAGACAAACTAAAGGATTTCACACAAGCAGACAGTTCTTAGTATCCACAACCACAAAAACAGACAATAATCCCCACCCACAGGCCTAGGAAGGCGGCTGCTTTTCGGAACCCCCCCTCCCCCCGCCCAACTCTCTAAATTCTCCACTCCCATCCCAGCGCACAGGAGACATTCTGCCTCCCGCCGTTGCCACAGCGAGCAGGGCCGATCAGCCACCCTCTTGCAACACCACTTTCCCCCCCAAAAGGGAAGGGAAGCTGGGAGCCTCGGGCACCCAAAAGAGCGCCCGATCGCACGCGGGAACCACCGGATCAAACACCCCGCCAGCCCTGCTCACCGCCGCGGGGGAGAGGGAGAAAACCGCACGCAGGAAGTGTGTCCTGCGCTCGGCTCCCCGCCCCTCCCTGCGCCGAGACCTTACGCCCGGCCAGCCGGTACCTGCCCTCCGCCCCCAACAGGCGAGAAGCAGCCGCGTCCACATGGCTTCAGGTGTTCACATGGCAATAAACGGGCCCCTGTCCCTCCCGTGGGCCGGGCACGCTCCGACTCCCGGGCGCCCCGGTGCCGCTCCCGTCCTCCCGTCCGACCCCTCCCAGCCCCTCGCCCCCAGCCCGCAGAGAAGAGGTGAACGCAGCACGATCCCCGAGGCGATCAGGGGCCCTGGGGCGGGCGGCGCTGACCCCGCCGACCCCCGGGCACCGCCCGCTCGCAGCCTTCTTGGCACCTGAGGCAGCGACGAGCAGGTACCCCCGCCACCTACAGGCTAGGGCCGATGCCCAAGCCCTGCGGGACTCCCAGGCCGGACCGAGACCCCTCACGCCCTGATGCCAGGCCGGGCCCCTTCCCCTCAGCGACCCTCTAGGCCAGGCCAGACCGCTCCTCTGCACCCCGGGTCGGGCCGGACCATTCCTCCCAACATCCCGAGCCCCGGCCTCGGAGTCCAGTGATCTTACCACTCCCGGTTCGGGCCGGGCAAGGACCTCTGTCTCCAGCACCCGAAGCCGGACATCCCGGCCTGGCCCCAACCACTCAGCCCTGGCCCCAGCCTCACAGCCCTAGCCCCTACCCCCACCCTCCACCCCGGGCGGCGGTTACCTGCGGGAGCCCCCCGCCCGGTCCCTCGGCCTCGGCCGGGGGCGGGAGGGGAGGGAGCGGCGGCAGGCGGCGCTGCGCGGGGTGGGGGTGGGGGAGTCTCCGCCGCCTCCAGCTCGGGCGCCCGGGCCGGCGGCGGGGCGGGCCGGGGCCGCGGCCCCTCGAGGCTCGCTCCGGCCCGCGCGCTCGCTCCCCGGTCGGGCGCGCCTCAGGGCGGGCTCCCCCGGCGGAGGCCGCGGCCGCCTCGCAGGGGCGGAAAGCCGCTCGATTCGGGATTTTTTCTCTCCATTCTCCCAACACACAGGAAATAACAGAGCGTCAGGTGACGGTGCGCGGCCAATGAGAAGGCTCGGGGCTGCGGCGCGCGGGCGGGCGGGAGGGCGCGCGGCGGGGGCGGGGCGGCAGGGGGCGGGGCCGGCGCGCGCGCGCGTGCCCACCCGCGTGCGGCGGCGCCTAGGCCTGCGCGCGCCGCGCCGACCCCGGCCCGACGACGGGGGCACGCGGGGTTGCTCTCAGCAACTGGGGGGCGCGGCGTGAGCGTCCTGCCGCCTGCCCAGTGCCATCTCGGCCCGCAGCTCCGGTCCGTCCGTCTTGGGAGTGGCCGCGAGCCAACTTTCTGGGGAGTTCGTGGCCCGGAATCTCTCTGGGATTTCTGGAGTTCCCTGGGCCTCCAACGTCAGAATCACATCTGGCAGCCGAGGGAGTCCGCGAACCAGGGCCGACCTCCTCCTGGTAACCTGTTCAGTTGGGCTGGGCCAGAGGGGCGGCTCTTGCCAGGCAAACGCCCTCCGCGCCCCGCAGAGCCGGTTCCCTTGCCGCCTCCACGCCTTGGCCCCTCGTGCCCTTGGATGAATTCTTGGGCTCTCAGTTCCCCTCGCTTTCATGAAACGAGTGGGGAGGCCACCAACTTCGCCTGTGAAATAATGTGCTCACCAAATGCCAGTTGTCTTCGCCTGCGGCGGCATTAAAACCTGCAATGCCTGGTTGGCTGGATCCAGAGTCCAGAATTAATTTGGTGATAAGGTGGAGGATTTGTGGTGCCAAGGCCTCCGGCTGTTCCCAGACTTCCTTCACAAATCTCATGTATGTTTTATGGAGCAAAGGAAGGGTTTGGCTTTTTTCGGAAAGGCTTGACTTTGTTCAAGAAAATCTCAGTGGTACAACCACCACTGAGATGTTAGTGCTGTGTGACCCACTGCTGTCAAAAATTAGGCCAGTGAGGATGTGTTTGGAGTGTTTATGATTCTGCCTGTGACTCACCTGGATACCTGGCCAGGTTCTCTCCCTACTCTGGGCCTCGGTTTCCCTTTGGCACAATGGGAATGGGGAGATGTCTCTAATGGTGGCTAAAATTGTTGATTCTAAAGTAGGCCCCCATCTGCCCTAAATGTTAGAGTAGCTCCTTTTCTGAAGCAACCCAACTTGAAAGTAAATTGGGATTGGAAAAGTACTTTGCACAGCAGGTGAAGACTGATAGGAACCAGGTGTGGCCTGGGGCTCAGATTTAGGTACATTTGAGGTACACAGCTCCCCAGGGCCTGGCTCTACCCTTTCACCTCTCACCCCACCTAGCCAGACACATTAACACTTTGCCTTGCTTTAGGCCACCCAAGGAGGGTCCTGGCTGTGGCTACACCTATCCCCAGTATAGGGATCTCAGGCAGGGCCTGAGTTGGTTGTAGCACCTCAGGAGGATATTGAGTGAGGAAGGCAGTGATTTCTCCTGGCTTTTGTCCAATCTCACAAAGTGGGGGCCAGCTCCAATGTGGGTCAAGGCTATTCTTGAAGACTTGGTTCCCAACACCTCCTGCATGCCAGGCGGGATGCGGGCTCTTCCGGGGCAGAGCTGAATAGGCTGTGGGGCCCTGCCCTTTGGCTGTTCCCATTGTTCTGTGAGTTTCATTTTCAAATTCTTTGGCACCAACACTTTTAAAAAGACCAGTGCTGGCTTCTGCGTGGATCAGGGCTGCAAAGGGAAAGGTTGGGGCACCCTCAATTTCTTGAGAGAACTCATGAAGCAAAGGAAGGTCCTCTTATTGTCTCCTGCCCATCATTCCTCCCTTCCTTTCCCCTCTTCCTCAGCTCACTCAGGTTTCAAACTGGGAGACGAACATGAAATGAACGGTGGAAAAGGGAAAGAATGCAGACAGATAACTGGAGCCCAGGCTCTTGCTTGCTCCTGCCTCCTGCCCTGGGGCTGATCGGTAGCCCCCTCCCACCCCTTTGGACCCTGCTGGAACACTGCCCAGCCCACCCCCACCTGGAAACTTCCCAGTCCTAGGGCTAGACCAGCCTCAGCTTCTTCACCACTGGCAGTCTGTCACTTTTCCTTTCAGTACCATTTGGAAAAGGAACACATTGGGTTTTATTTCCAACAGACAGATTCGGTGTACTCGGGTTGTGTGGCCTCAGCCAATTCATTTCACCTCTCTGAACCTTGGTTCCCTCAGCTATAAAATGGAGATAATATGACCTCACTCATAACATAGGCATTATGAGAATCTAGACATCGGCATTACAAACTCAGCACACTAGGCACATGTGAACAATAGCTACAGTTCTCTGCTGTGAACACACTATGACACATGAGGAGACGCTGGCGCAGAGAGGTTAAATCACTGCCCCAAATCCCACAATGGCCAGAGCTCAGTACTGGGAGCCTCCTCCTCTCTGATCATGTTTAGCATCTTCTTTTGTTCTCTCATTGTCTCTCATCTGCAAAAACCCTGTTTCCTTCCACACTTGAAGAAAAAAACATTAGATTCATTATGGGGTTTTTTTTCCCCCTCTCCTAACCCAGTCCACTCAAAAAATACTTATTGAACTGAATCAGTGGTTTCAATTCCAGAAGCAAAATTAATCCTTTCCCTCCTCCTCTGGCTCAGAGATGGCTTTTGGAAACCCTGTGTCACTCCCTTTATTACAAACTCCTCTGCCCTCCTCCCAGCGCCTGGGCCACTCTGGGATTACAAATGGAGCCTTCTGCCTCTAGGTCACTGATTCCGCTACCATGTGTCAGTGCGGATTGATTGAGGAGACTGGCCCTGCCCGGCAGATCAGTGACTTGTGTGAAGTGAGCCACGTGTCGCGCCTTCAGTGGCAGGCAGGATGTCCTTCCTCTCACTCGCAGGCTCTGGAGCACACGTGCGGCCCTCACCTTTCTCCTCTGCGGGCCCAGCTCCTTCCTCTCAGCAGGGGCCTCCTGCTGGCTCAAGCACACCAAGAGACTGGCCTGGAATGCTGGCTCCTAGTTCTCCAGAGAAAACTGACGAGAGCCTCGGGTTACCAGAGAGGGGAACACCCCACAGCATCCTACGGAGCCTGTCCCAAGCCAGGCACTTCCCCCGGGCAAAGCAGATGGAAGCAGAGCACACAGACAGCAGGCTGGCCAGATCCTTCGTGGTATGCTTCATTCCACACACAGCACCTGCTGGGTGCTAGGCTTCAGCCCTGATGAAGAGGGCACAGGGGCTTCGAATCAGTCTTTCTGGGGCAAGGACAGGGCTGGCTACAGGGCTAAAGGGGTTGGGGAGGCTCCAGGTGGCAGGGAATACCAAGACTTAGCAGTGTGGGGACAGCCCCTGGCTTCCCAGGAGGGCTGTGCCCAGTGTAGGGCTAGGGGAATGAGGTGAGGCTTCGGAGCAGGGCAAGGGTGTGATCCTGCAGGGCCGGGTATCTGACATGTGGTGTGAATTTGTATCGCAGGATCTCAGTGACCTCTGCTCAGGAGGTGTGCCCCTCTTCCTCCAGGATGGAAGTTGTGGCTCCCTCCTTAGCCCCTATGCAGAGTAGGGAACCACATCCATAAAAATGTTAACATTCATATCGAAACAGCCCACAGAAATGCAGGATTACTGTGAACAGGCACTGTGTGTTCGCAACAACCTGATGAGGCTGGTACTGTTATCAACCCCTTTGCCAATGGGGCCACTGAAGCACAGAGAGTTTAAGTAACTTGGCCCAAGTCACACAGCTTGGAAAATGCTTAAGTGGGATTTGATCCCAGGCTTTTAGAGGCTGCACTCTTAACTACAAAGCTTCCCAGCATCCAGTAAACACTGGAAAGATGAGTGGATGCAGACAGTTGGTGGGCTCCAAAGTCTGCAGGTAGACAGGGAACGAGAGGTGAGAGAACAGCAGGGTCGGCACCAGCCTCCCCCAACTAACATGTGACAGCCCTGGGACTGGGCAGTTTGCCTGGAAGGCCGTGCCTGCCCAGCTAGAGGCATGGCTGTGCGTTAACACACTCATCTTCCCAGGGTGAGCGGAGAGAGAACGCGGAGGAGACCCAGCTGAGCAGCTAGGCTCTTTCGGCCTGGCTCCCCGGAGGGCACCCCTCAGCTCACTCGGCACTCCTGCCCCTGGTGGCACAACTCTCCCCAGGCGGCCCCTGGCGTGGTGGCCCAGCACAGGTCACTGAGCTGGGGACCCAGCCTGGTCTCACACCCATGTGTATCCTTCAGCATATCATCCAGTGGCTCTGAGTCTGAATTTCTTCATCTGGAAATTGGAGTGGGTGGGAGGAGGGGCTGAGTGAGCTGCCTGCCTCCAGGGAGTCAGGTCTCTTACCTGGGTGACCCCATTCACTCCTGCCAACAACCTTATGAAACAGGGACTGCCCTCTTCATGGTGCAGACAAGAAAGCGACAGAGGTTAAGAGACATGCCTGAAGTCCCAGAGCTAACAAGTGGCAGAGCTGGGATCTGAACTCAGCCTTTTGGCACCAGAGTCCCCGCTGAGTCATACACTACAAAGAGTTAAAGTGAAAATGAAATAATCTAATCATCGCAGCGATGAAGGCATGTTCTGAGCACTTCACCTGCATTAACTCACTTAATCCTTACGACAGCCCTGTGAGGGGGTACTGTTGTAACTGCATCTTGCAGATGAGGAAACTGAGGCCAGAGCCGCCAGGAAGGGGCAGAGTTGGAATCTGAAGCTGGGTGGGCTAGGCTGCAGGCTCCTGCATCACTTAATCAGGAGATAACAATAGGGAGGGTCCCTTCCATTGGGATTATTTCTGCTTGA